TTTTATATTTTACTAAAGAGCCTGAAAAAAAGCACAAGTTCACGAAATTATGTTCAAACGTTCTTAAAAACTAAAACGTTCTAATGTGCACATTACTACTTAATTCATAGCCCAAAGTCTAGAAATTCACTAAAAGCATGTAAACTGATACAATCTCTGACTATATTTCACCACATACTACTTAAACTAATATAAATAGTTGAGAGATGTACATTACGTAGGACCAAAAAACAACAAGCAATCACTTGTATTCTTGCATTAGACCTCGCTGTTTGCAACCATTGCTTACAAATATGAATCAATTAACAGTTTTTGCTTCTAAAACTTATTAATTGAATATACAAACGTCTAAAATACCAAAATCTGTCGATCTTTAAAATATAACTAGTCACATAAACATAATTATTTGGTCGGTGGCGAAAAGATGAAGGCGAAATGAAATATGGATAAGATATTCAGTAATACCAGTAAATGTTGTTTTTATTGATTAGAAAAGACGTGCAACTATCATATGACAAATGATGATTACTAATAAATATGACTTATTAGAGGATAATCATACATCTTATTTTTTTCTTCAACTGTCGATGTACACCAAAATAAAATAGTTGTCACATTCTAACTAGGCAAGTACCACAATGCACAGAATAAATGGTATAATATAAATAATATAGACAATATAGTATGAATGGTATAGAATAAATAGTATAGTACGGGAAAAGTTAAAAAGAATGTACAATGTCATGAGTGCAGGTTGATAGATATCTAGATAATTTTTCATCAACGTGCATCCTGTACATTTTCTCTACCTCTGGACGGTAGCGATAATCAAAAATGGTATACACAAAGTTCAACCAATTATTCGTTTGGACTAGCAAGGTAAACCTAGAGTTTGAAGCGGAGAATGATCCTAACTTCTATTGGTCTAGAGTTTGAACACTTCTTTCAACCGTGTCTTCTGTTTGATAATAGAATACAACAAGCACTAGTTCAATAGTATATCTTATGCCAATCAACTCACAATAACGTAGAGTAATTTTCTGATCGCAAATGTATATGAAGATGAAATTACAACATAGGAATAACTACACCGAAAGTGGAAGATATCGGAGGAGGTGAATGATTAAGTAAACATAATTAGGAAATAGCAAAGGATACAACAGCAGTTAATCGATCCAGTGGCAGCTAACAATCAGGAGAATGTAGAAATACAATAACATTTATCTATTAACTATGCAATGAAAATATTAATAATAACCCATAAATTTGTCCCAAAAACTACATCATCAGTATTCATTCTTTCACAACGCATACAGTAGAAGTAATAACAGGGGAAATAAAAGAAAAAATAAATAAGTTGTAACATAACATCATTTGAGCTAAAGTAATAAACCAAACTGTGTATTTTTTATGTGGCAATTTGCCTATACTTCTTCAATATCAGCTCATTTATATGAATTGGATTTGCCTAAACCATTTTATATGATAGATTAAAGTAATATTCGATTTTAATTAAATAAAAACGAAAATAATAGGATAATTAATTAGATTCTCACTGAAAAAAATTATAAATCACTTCTTCTAGTACTTAAACATTTTATTAAGTAGTAAGTTAAGAAAAAGACTATTTATGGGAGATCGAAATTATATTTATTATTCAACAGAGATCAGTCTACTTTTGTGCAAAACAGATGACAAACGAACTATGAAGGAGGAAATTTGTTGACATCGAAAAGACCCACTGTATCTAGGTAGATAAACCAACTATCTATTTTCCTTAAGAGGAAAGGCTATAAATCAAATATTCAAATGGGACCTATTTACTACAACCCAAATTTCAAAGCTGAATAGCACCAGTCACCTGGGATCTATGTGAATAACAACAATTATTATTATAATTACTAGGTGCGCTGACTGAACATTTGTAGGGTGCAGTTTAAAGCAGTACATCTCGAGTACAGATGTATCGGAATATTTTGGATTTCAATCAACATTAGGAGCTAAACTTTGATGCAAATAATTACTTGTTTTTACCCGATCCTAACATTCTCAGACCTGATATCGATCCAATCACTTTCATAGTTGGGTTACACTTTTTACATGAATTACTGTACATGGGATACCAAAGTTTCCTGGGGATCTACTGAAAATGTTTCCATATAATCTTAAGATAATTGTCTGTGAATTAAATAAATCGTATACGTTTGTTTTTTCCTTCAACATAATAATCCTTTTAGTAGAAAGTTATGTAGCTATTCATTTGAAAACAAAAACTATGATTATTAACACAAACTTTTTAATCACAAGTATCCAAAAGAAGCACAAACATGTTAAGCTAGCTATAGTCGGTTACCAGACATTTCAGATAAATCAGTGACCGGTTAATAGTGCATACGACTAAGCGAATGAATGAACCAAGTTGTAGAGGCAAGTGATATTCCAGTTAAACAAGAACCATCACCCACAGTTCGAAGTTGTGAAAACCTTCGGTGATTAGGAAGTTTCAAAATCGGACAAAGAATATAAACAATGGTGTTGATTCAGGTCAATGGTAAACTTTGGATTGAGACAAAAAGTATCAAACTAGATTATTCCGCACTACAATAATTCAATACAATTACTAAATTAACGTAAAAATGATTCTGAAAAAAGTACATTAAACCATTAATTTGGAATTTAGTTGCCATTCTACAAAAGGATTTTTCAGATGTCGTTAGTTTAAATGATGCGGTTCTTCAGATTAAAAAGAGATGTTGTTATAAATTTTGCCCAGTTAACTATCACATGATAAGATTGCCAATCACAACACGACTTATACAATCTTGATACTGTACCAAAACAATGACACGTCAACCAGTACGAGCAGTCAAGAGTCAAATCTGAGTCCTGATTAGTCCTTCCGCCTAGCACGACCAGTTTGAGTCCAGAATACAGCTTCTACTGCATGAATCAAATATTTCAGACATACTGGGTTTACATACAAGCTAATCAAACCATATCATACCACAAAATAGAAAACAACAATTATACAAGAGCAAACCGAAAAGTGGGTGTGAATGTTAGAGGCTGTGACTAAGAGATCGAGAATAACTTGAGAATAGTAAATCGTAAAGCAGTAGCCAATAGGTCAAATGAAAGTTTATGATAAATGGAATATGAATATAATCTATTTAATAGCTATCCAATATGAATATACGTAGTAATAGTCCATAAATAAGTTCGAGCAACTACCATTCATTAATTCTTCGTCGGGATATAACAGATGTGTTTGTCGATCTCCCCAAATCAATCAACAATGCTATCTCTATTCGACAGTTATGACCAAGGTGTTCTGCAACAGTTATGGAGACATTTAAAGTTTCTGAGAGTTATCGAATCGAAGTAAAAGTTCACAAATTGAAATCACAGGTTACTTCTATGAATTCAGTTCATCAGGGGTATCAAATGATCAGTTGATCGGACAGTATTCGAATCTGATTTACTGTTCTCCACGGTTGCATTTTCTTTTAAGCACGTCAACAGGACCTGATTAAAGCAAATTTCGAATAAGACCACTTTGGAACTCGCTGACTGGTTCATCTTCAATCGATCAGCGTTAGTGAATGAGCTGAGAAGACTATAGAAATTTTCAGTGTAAAATTTTCATACAGTGATACTTTCTCATTATATTAACATAACTTGCTATCCGCTCTGAAATGTTTATACTTCCGTCTAAATCGTGTTTCGATTCGAAAATCAGTTGAGTGAAAAAAGTATCCAAGAACACTAAGCCGAAGAAAACTTAATACAACGAATTATTGATTTCTACCAATGACAAATCATAAAGTGACACTACTCAGTATGACTACTACTTAGACTGTAATTACTTATTGGACATAAGAGTAAATCTACAAGAAATCAATTTTAAAGATAAATGTCACTATCATTAATCTTCAGATGTCGAACTCTCTCCTTTAAAGGTATCCTTTATACTATAATTTACAAAACCAGTAAGCTTATTACATGTTCACCTATGCAAAATTATGTATTTCCGAAGTACAACATAAGACAATCTTCCAATGACTTCCTTCGTATTGATAACATATTTGCATTTAATGTAATTACGGATAAATTTGAGCCTTAAGTGAAAAATGGTCACTAGCATCAAAAAACAGACCATATACTTTCTTTGCTGAACAAGTGGATTTGTGTATATACACCGTGAACTGATACACTGTAATATTCATCCACTCAGCTAAAACTGTATAACTAAACATCAGATAAAACTAAGTCGGCAAATAAGGGTTTGTAGTTGATTATGCAGTGCAACATTATCAATGTAATGGTAACCTATTGTTATATTTTCAATTGAACATTTTTGAAGGTTACAATTAGCTGTAAAAAAAGTCCAGTTACTTTTCCTTCAAATGGACTGAACTATTTAGGAATACGGATACAACTCGATCGTATGTACTTATCATCTACATTAGCAATGCCTTGAGTAGATCTGAAACGAATTCACAATGTACTTTGGAAAGTACTTTTGTATAAAACACTACGTTATTCAGGATGTTTTGTCCAATATATACATTTATACTCACCTTATGACAGAAATTTTTAATGCAATAGGCTTCATTAAACTGTTAGATATCGAAGCGTACTATGCACTACTTAATTTTATCGCTTTTACTATTGTGTTTAAACATTTTTATACCAATTACTTGCCATAAACAATTTCAAATAAGTAGCTTTTCGTGCTAATGTAAATTAACTTTGACACAAAAATAAGAAAGAAATCTTTACGTTGTGCTAAGGGCGATTCTGATGAAGACCAGTCAACTTGGAATGTACATCCAGAGCATTCTAAAACTGGTTTTTTCCAGTCAACTAGTGGAAAGGGTCACTTAACAATTACAGTACTTAGTTCCCAGTTATTTGGTTGCAGGTCCTAATCCCGCTACAGCTACTTCGGTTCCTGGTGAGTGACCCGGTACTACTGCTTCAAAGGAACACATAATAGTAATAAATAAATGGTAGTGTATTAGGCAACAATACTTAGATATGTGTATTTTTTGTCACAATCTGGTTCAAAAAGAGAAGTTTTAGTCATGACAAGTGAGTTGTACTGGTTGAATCAGACGAAAACACCCGTCAGATTAATGTGAAACTCCACTTGAGATAAAAAAAATAAAACGAAAAAAAACAGATTCTGTTTTTTAAAAATATAAAAAATCAAGTTATTTATTTTATCAGTCTTGCTGGATTAAACAACTCAATACCGGGTTGTTGTAATAAATCATCTTGAGCTTTTTTTTCATCCAGCTCCATTTGGTCGGTAACGTTTGAATTTGTGCTCTGTATTAAATTAGGATTATTTTTTAAAATGACAGCTGTTAAAAGGCGTCCAGATATAGGTCCAGTAAGAATTCCCCAACAAGAATTACCCGTGGCAATATAAACATTGGATAAACCAGGAATTTGACCAATAACAGGATAGCCATCACTCACTAGCGGTAAATAACAAGCAGATTCTGTTATCATCTCAGCATCTTTTAATGATGGGACTACACTAGTAACTATTTCTTTTAAACGATTACAACGCCAAGATTCAATTTCAACTTGGTCCTTTGAAGACGGTACAGGCTAGAAGGAATAATAATGAAGTTTAGAAATTTTATGAGATTATCATTAGTCATATTCAAATATGGGAAACCAATCGAAATGTATACTATGACAATGGAGATGTTCACAAACACAGATTTGTGTGAATGGCATCTGTTGATGAAAATAAATGAGTTAACTTGCAAGGACTGGGAAATCTTGGCTTTGAACCTGAGGTCCACGAAAGCTCAAAAGTTTGCATACATTTTATTTGATGACATTGAAATTGAAAACAGATATTTACAAAAAAAACATGGAAATCTTATTTAATCTAGTAGGCCTGTTTTTTTTAAATTGGTGGGAGTGAAAGTTGAGTTCCTTAGGAGTAATCAATATTGAGAAGACGAAAAACGAATCCAATAGACTTTTTTCAATCTTTATTCGATCCTAGGTTTTTGGTCACGACTATGTGTATGAATATAACGATAACAGTTTATAAACCAAAAACACAATGATTAAACTCACTGCTCCATCACCAAGACCACATACATAGACTGTATTATCAGGTCTTGGATAAACTTCAGGTGAACAAGAGAACTCAGAATTTTGATAATCCATGAACAAACACTTAGCATCTATTGGAGACTTCTCTATTTTTGGTTTCAATATGATACTATGAGCTCGCCTTCCATGAAATTTATTAGGATTTAAACATCCTGATGGTAACCAACTAACAGCTTCCTTTGACCATGGTCCTGTAGTAAGTATAACTAAACTGGCAGGGATAACTTCAGAATTTAAAGTAGATGATTCTATTACTCGAACACCACTAACTTTGGGAGCCGATGTATTCGATGTTGAAAACTCTAGTCCTATAACACGGGTAATTTTCAATTTTGTTCCTTGATTTGTTAAATATTGAGCACGCCGAAATAATTCATCTGTGAGTTTTTTGGGATGTACCTAATAGGAGTAATGTAATAAAATAAATAATACTCTGTTTTTTTATTTTTACATGACAAAACTCAAAATGATGAAATAAAAATGTAATCTTGACTTTAATAGGTGACTATACATAAGGCATGTCTACTAAAGTTAAACACATAGGGAATGTAATAGTTGTCATCAATGCTATTGAATGGTTGTTACACTATATCACGAAATGGTTGAAATCATAATTGTACTATAGAACGCCAACCCAGTGGTTTTCATAGTCGAGCATTAGCTGTGAAAAACAGAGGTCTTAAGTTCGACTCATGTCGCTGTGAACCCGCACTGTTCAACAGTCCCATGGTTTTCAGTAGTACATTAACTGAGATCAATCTGTGGCGAAAACAACCTACTAATCTGAACAAAATCCCACCAAGTCAAAATCTTTGACATAAAATCACTGATGATTTTACCAAACGAAAGATCCATAATATTAACGTGAAGTTACAAAAAAGATAGCAATCATCAGAGTTTTTGAAAGTTCTCTATGCACAAAGTGTCTTTAAAAAAATAAAAGCAGAAATTTGCTTAACTAATAGAATTGCTAATAAAAGCTTTTAATCCAGAACTTTATTCGTTTACTTTATCTCAGATTTAGGATTGCATTTGTAGATGTGATGGATTATATGAATATTACTCAACTCTAAATTTTCATTACAATAAACCGGTTGTTTAGCTTAATCCCTGAAATCTTATAAAGAAAAACTAAAATGAATTCAGTAATCAACGATAAACAGTGTTTGACTGGACGATCTTTGAAATTAAATCAATCATAGACACCACTAAATCGTATCAATACCAGTCGTTGTTGGGAAGGTTCTATGGTAAAATAATTCTTCATGTGAGTCAAATATCTGCACTTTGATCGTGCCCAACTGGGAGCACGAATTTGCCTTCATTTATTTAAATGTAAGAAAATCAAAACCGGAGGATCATTTATACTTCGGCTGAAAGATAAATCGAGTTATTTAGGGGAGAATCATCCAAACATTGAGAAAAAAGTCAGGGGGAACAGTCACAATCGGAATAATTTGGCATAAAGTCCAAAAAGCTATAAATACAAAGGCTATATCTATCAGCATCATAGACATAAGGTTAGGAAAAAACAGTGGATTTTAGAAGTTTCAATTGAAATAACAGTTGCTCGGAAAATAAGATACAAACGCAATGAAATAAACAGACAGAAACCCTACACAATGATCGCAAGCAATAGTCGACCGTTAAAACAAAGGAAGTAGAAAAGTCGGAGGTGATAGGTAGTGGGATATAGCTCTTTAGAATTATCAAATGACCAGGTATTAAAGGCCAAGTCTTTAGTACGACTACTGAGGAAAAAGATGGCACCGTGGTCTGTATTCAGAACTGGTGTTGAGGACGATGAGTAAAATACTCTGAGGAATAGTTCAACTGGATTTCAGCTGTTATTTTTAGTTTAAAATTTAATCCTGTTACATTAAACTTTTACGGTACGCAAAAAAAATAACACATCTGAAACATTTACAGTAAAAAACGGATACCAATAAAAGTAAATGAACATTAGTGGTTTAAAACTAAATCAGTTTAGTGTTTAAGAGTTTATTTTACAGGGGCCTTGGAAGTACTCTTACCAACAAACAAAATACAAAACAAACCTGTGCAGTAGTTGTAGAGTCGCCTATCAGTGAACAATGTTTTACTTTCGCATTGACCCAAGATGGTGAATTTGAAGAACCGGAAGATTTCCCAGGAGATAATGATATAGAATACGTATTAACACGTCTATAGTCACATGCACTACCGAACTCATCTGCTAATTTCATGTGCAAATCAAAACCGTTCTGAGCTAAAACATCCATTTCATTGTGAGAACACCAGTCCTTAGCAAGGAATCCCCCAGCTCGCCCAGATGCTGCAGATCCAAGTTGCTCTTTTTCAATTATTAGTGTGTCGACCTTCCTTTTTGATAGATAATAAGCGGTAGAAACACCCATGATACCACCTCCAACTATGATGACTGACATTATGGGGAGTTACATATGTACAGCCTAAATCTGAGTGACGGAATATGAACACAAATACACTGGATACATATATATCCTGAATCTGGTAGGCTTAGTAATCTCGTTCTTGTTTGAAAAATGAACTATGTTAGGACTGATCTAATAATGAAATTCTTTGACTTTGTATTTCGTTCAATTATGGAACACTACAATAAATGTAAAATAATAATTATATGGACATTCCAAATTTAAGATGTAACTGATGGTCTTAATCGAAGAACCTTCCAGATTTTAAATTCTATACGGCTCGCTCCGTGAAAACTCGAGCAGTTTTCTCACTTTTGTGATTTTACTTGGATTGCTAACTTCCTGTATGTTCTCTTTGTGATGTAAATTATAGGCTTGCTTCATTAAGTTTAACGAGCACTAGAGGTTTGTGTAGAAACCAATGAAAGATCTCTGGGTTAAAATCCGTACTATTACCTTTATAAAGTTTTGTTTGTTATGATGAGCCAGTCGGGCTAATGTCAACAAAAACACTAGTACTTTTCAGCTTTATGGTCCAACAAAAGTAGAGTAGAACAGCCAATGAGAAACCATTTTAAAAATTTATAAATCCTACAATCTTAGACTTTAGAGGGGAACGATATAGCTAACTTCTATTTCATGTGACACTGATATTTTATGACTGGTCTATGGTAATTTCGCGCTTCATATAAAAGCTGGTGTGCTTATCTACCGCAAGGACGAAGTATATGACAAATAGCTATAATTAATCTCAGGACCATATGCATATGAAACTTCACACTATTTAATCGACGGTCAGGAACTATAAGTTGCTGGTCGCTATAACTGCATAACAAAGGGCTACTGTGACTGTGACATTTCCAAATTATGAACAATCATTACAAAGTGACAATACTTCCCAAAGGCAATTTTCAGTTATTTAACATGATGGAATTCCTAGCATTGAACAATTATCATGATATTCTTCCCCACCATGTTAATTTTCCAGTTTCGATCATTCATCACGAATCAAGATTAGTGTTTTTAATTTAACTCAATCTGTTTTAGTTAAAGTATTAGGAGTCGCGTTTTTGCATCTGTAATCATATTGGGTACAATAGTTTTTCTGGTTATCGATCTCTATGAGCCAAACGGTACATTTGTGCTTTCTAACCCAACTTTGCGTGTCAGTTTTAGCCTCTGGGTGGTTTTTTCCAATTTATTTGAAAGTTTTCGAATGATGACATGATAGTGTGCAAAAGAAATTGTTAACGCTCGAGTTGTCTTAACCTGTAAACAGCAATTAAACTTTTAGTTTCCTATTTGTTCAATGTCAGACTCAGTGAGTGGGCATCGCTACATGGCAACTTATTCGTCAGAGTTAGGACTTCAAAGACTTCATCAGAGAGATCAGTCTTTATGCAGCATTCTCTACATAACGGGAGTGAAGGCGGTCTGCAGGAATGCTTATGCGCAGTCGGTGATAGATTGCTACACATTTTGTGGGACTATCTGTACTTGTCACACAGCATACCATCTTGAACAAAGAGATAGTTTTCGGCCTCATCGATAACGTTAGACGATGATTATAAACAGCATATGGATAAAACAGATAATCACAAAATTTCGGAAATTATAATGGTACTACAGTGAATATGAAAATGTACCAGAAATGTAACTTTAAAGTGATAGTTAAAGAAACGAAACGTCAAAAACGTTGGCAAACCAAACTCTGGGAAATACATGGGAAAACGGAGAATATGAATATACAGACACGAACCAACAAATAAATTTAAACTAGTGTAGACTGAAGTAAAAGGCGTGTGAAAAGGTACTTCGCAAACTTAAATAACGCTAGAAGCGTTAAATGGTTTTAGATCTAGCTTCTGCTTTGATAAACGCACCAGAAATCTAATGTTTTAAAACATGGAAAAATTCATTCTTTAAACAGATAACGCACTTATTGGATCCGAGCAACACTGCTGGCACAATCACACGCATTCAGGACAACTACACCTAAAATTTTCAAGTGCTGGATTTGTAAAAAGTTCTGGGTATCGTCCTTTGTACTCATCATACCCCACACCACTCCTCCAGTTAAGAAAACTCGAGTGTTAACAATTTCTTTTGCACACTATCATGTCATCATTCGAAAACTTTCAAATAAATTGGAAAAAACCACCCAGAGGCTAAAACTGACACGCAAAGTTGGGTTAGAAAGCACAAATGTACCATTTGGCTCATAGAGATCGATAACCAGAAAAACTATTGTACCTAATATGATTACAGATGCAAAAGTTTCAGTTTCAGTTTGGAAAGGACAGGAGGCTTGATGGCCTGTGTTAATACTGGCAATGGTGGTCTCTCGGTTGATCCATCATTCTTTTCAAAGAGCCTCAACCACGTGCTGAGGTAATTAATTCCACTTGATGATTCGATGGGAAAGTCGACGGTCAACTGACAAGTACTATGTTCTGGGCTTGTGAACATTACTGGAGTGCCCTCGTAAATTCTCTGTTTTGGAAGACAAGAAAAGTGAGGGCATATCAGGTGCAAATTTATCACTAAGCAATTTGAAAACTGTAATCAAGTCGCCTCTAGTTCTGCGATATGACAACGGGAATATGTTTAGCTTGACCAGTCGAGCATCATACGGGAGCTTTGCTATTCCGGGAATCAGCTTAGTTGCTGTTCTCTGAACCTTTTCCAAAAGCTTACTGGCTTTTTTAAAGCACGGGCTGGCCGCTTGTATGGAGTACTCAAGTTTAGGACGTGCGAACAATGTATATATACATCACAACACACTTGGAAGTATTTATCGACAACTGCCAGGTTTGAGACCATTCAGATAATTTCTTCAGGTCATTTTGGAGTTTTAAGCTATCACCCTTACATCGTATCGTTCTCTATATCTTGACATCGTCAGAATATAGCAAGACCGATGATGATAGGAGACGAGGAAGATCATTTAGATACAAGAGGAATAGCACTGGCCCAAAAAATGTACCCTGGGGCACTCCATTAATCATAGTTCCCCAGCTAGATAACTTTGAGTTCACCCGTACTCTTTGTTGGCACCCAACTTGGAAGTCTTTTATCCAAATCAATAGATTGCCTCCAATCCAACATTTCTTAGCTTCTATAACAGCCGGTTGTGTAGAACTTTGTCAAAAGCTTTGCTGAAATCAATGTAGGCTACATCTACAGGTAACTTTTGGTCCTTAAGAGCGCACAAGTTTTCACGAGCCACTAACAAGTTAGTGAGACAAGAATAAAATATTCTGAAACCATGCTGCTTCTCCGAAAGGATCCGGTTTTCATCGAGGTACCTAAACAGCTCCCTTTGAATAATCTTTTTCAAGATTTTAACAACCACACTAGTTAGGCTAACTGGTCGGTAATTCTCAGGTTTATGTCTCGTACCTGTTTTGAAGACAGGAATTACTATGGCGTTCTTCCTGTCTCTCAGTAAACGACCCTGCGTTACGGATAGATTAAAGCATATACTTAAAGGGTTCGCAACGCAGTTAGATAATTCCTTTAGTAGCCTAGGATGCAATCCATCGGGTCCCGTGGATTTACCTATGTCAAGTTTATTTAGCAGACTGAAGACATCGGGGTTTTAAATGGTCACGCTATCCAGTGTATGTGTGGGAGGATTTGTATGCGCTGACAGGAAGGGTGGTTTTATGGTATATACATTGCTAAAGTAGTTTGAAAACAATTGAGCCTTACTAAAGTCGTCCTGCACTAATGATGCGTCGGTACTATCTCCTCATAGTGCAGGAATACTTTCTCTTCTTTTTGTCCTTCGGTTTATATAGGAATACAAGCGTCTAGGACATTCTATGGATTCCTTAACAATTCTTTTCTTCGTACAACTTTATAGACTTACGGAGGGTCGGAACACAGGTATTCTGAGCTTTTCGATACTGAGACTTTGTCTCACCAGTCCCCCTCCTTATTGAGCCATGGTGGAGAGTTTTTCGGCCCCCTTGGTATAGTCCAAGGGATGTGGGGTGCGGTAACTTTTAAGTATAAATTTCGAAATAAGACGCGACCCCTAATACTTTAAATGAAACAGATTGAGTTGAAGTAAAAACACTAATCTTGATGCGTGATGAACGATTGAAACTCAAAAATTAACTTGGTGGTGTAGAATATCATGGTAAAGCTTACCGAAATAGCGGGTTGAACGACAAACCACTCCAATATCAGAGGGTCGTCGCCAACGGCCTTGACTTTGTAGCGGTAAATAAATCCTCAAAATCAATAGCTCCATAAGTCTTCGATATTTGATACCGATCACATTAGTTTTAATGGACTCACCTAGCTGAAGGCGCTCGGTCACGCATCCGCATCAGATCACGAGTGGAAACTGAATGTCGAGCTCAACTTTTCCTGCAATCACTAGCCAGTCTAGACCAGTCGATTCTCGATATATTGATAGTCTATCATATATATCTTCGTACCTCCTTGCTTCTGACTTTTGATTTCAATAAGCGTGTACGATTCATAGTAGGTGTTACTGGTTAGAGCGTTGTCAAACTTCAACTTCAAGATTAACGGTGGGCTTTAGAAATTTAAATTATCCGTGAGCAGAATCGAGTGTGTAGGACTACATGTTTTTCAGGTATTCTGATATTGACATAATCTGTTGATGTTTGAAAACCGTCACACTTTTTCTTCATAGCTTAAATTGCTCTTTTTTTTGCTTTTCAGTGCATATCTAAATTTAGTTACTGCTTCCACACTTTCCGAAAACCATAGGTTGGCTAGTTCTTCTGGAGAGCCTTGAAAGGGTAACTAGCATGAATAAATACAAATGTATCAGGTTTCGAAAGTTTACAATCGTCCTATTCTTGAAGTTGAAGTAAAAATGTCTGAAAACCCATGAGTTTGTATCTGACTTTTCCTTTCAGATTCGGATTCGAATTTATGCTTCATTACAGGCTGTACCAACTGATTTTCGTATTTTCCATGAGCTGCGTGAATTGTGCATATACACTGTGACATTCCCTCGTGTTTGCTCTGTCAAGGCTGATAGCGACATTTCAACATCTATTATTTTGTGTTAATAAACATGTGATATCCCAGTCTATCCAGAAGTGGCTGTGCACCACCTTTTTGGGACTGTCCAGGGTACAAATGGTTGAGTTTCTCAATCGTAAAATTGCTGGAAATAGATCCATGCCGAGGCTGCAGAGCTGTATGCTTTCATGTCTGTCTTCTGTATGTAAGCACGGGCCGGTAAAACTTCCTGAAATACCGTATCGCCCATGAACTGGAATAAGATGACTGCATGATCACTTCTCCTTATATATGGTAGGATCACCATTTGAATGACATCATCACCGTGCGTGAAGACCAAGTCTAAGACAGAAGAGGGATTTCGAAAGTTATATCTGGTGGGATCCCATATGTGTTGGAACGAAATCGGGTCAATTGTGGTTTCTGACGATTTGTGATCATTTGATGTTTCTGGTAACCCTACTTCTAAGTTGCATCAAAGTTAACTACTACAAGACTTTTACACTTGTTTAACCAGTATTTAAGTTTATTTAGGAGGAGGTCATCATTTGATTATCCTGGACTGAAGCATGCCATTTGCACTTGAAATGGCACCACCTTAGCTCACATTTCTCCGAGTCGTGTGACATAGCCTTTACAGCGCGTATGGTTAAATTGTTTATTAAGTACAGGATAGCTCCACCACCTCTACAGTTGGGTCTGTAAGCCCAATAAAGTAAGAAGCCAGTCAGCTGAACTCGTATAGACTTTTGACGTTAGTCATGTTTCTAAGATGGGAATAACATTAGGGTTTTCTGTATCAGTCACGTTTTTGAGCTCCGTGAATATATTTACTAGGCTGACAGAACATGTATATAATGCCTTTAGTTCTGCGGAATGCTTTCTCGTACTACCCGGAGTGGTTTAGCCATCGTTTTGCACTGAACTTTACAATGTGAAAATTTTCAAGTAGAAGGTTTTTCAACGGTTCCGGTAGTGCTCATTTGTTTCTGTCTACAACGATTGTCTCTTAATATGATCAATCAGATCATGAATCTCACGGACATATATTCAAGATCCAGTTAGTTTTCGTGGATTTCCTAGTATTTGGTTTCTTCACCAAGCGGAACCAAAAGTAACTTCTGAAGGCGACTAGCCTACTTACTTTTAGAGTCCAATTTTTGTCCTGTTTTGTGACGTATATAAATGCTAACTCCTGATACTGTTTCCAGCAGTAGCTTGCTTCTTGAGGAATAAATGTGTTCTAGACCGTTGCAAGCCTAGCCTTTGGTTCCTTTACGGAAGACCCACTTAACTGTGAGCCAATCACTGACTTTATTTTGTTTCTTGATCAAATCTTCTACAAAGTTGAAATGGTGTTCTGTAGTTGAGACCTTCAACGCACATACTTCGGAACTCTCTGTATTTTTTTATTTCTGTGATTTTTTTCCTTGTAACTATGCCTAATATCTGTTTGTCATCCACTACGTTATGGTGGTCCACCTTGATGGCTTCATTCAGATCTACAGCTGGACTGATGATGATGCTCGTCGCTTCACTGAATTTTGATAGCTGCTAATCTGCTGCAGGTTTTTGGACTGAAGTCACCTCTCTGGCAGTGTTTAACAGCTCAAGAACCAGCAGAAAAGCTTTATAGCAGCATGCCTTGAACATCCAACGTGATAGTGGCTTGCAGCAAACGTTATATGCTGTCAGTGTGAGTCTGGTCCACATGCTTTGATATTACTTATTGCAGTTGTCACACTGAATTCCATCCTCAACCAGAGAGTAGACAGTGAGTCTACCACAACGTTGTTTTAGTCGTGCAATTAAAATTGCTTAAAGTGCTCACGAAGAGAACAACACGAAAAATCTCTTAAACCACACGGAATGCTAACCATCTCCTTTTTCGGTGAATTAACAGTGTTCGTTATACCTTCTGCAATTAATTCTGAAATGTCAGCTACTTAAAGTTGAGATAGCTTCAAATCAATTTTGTTTCACTGAAAGCACAGAGATTAATGAGTTGTATGTTATTAAAAACTAAGTAAAAATTTCCAAAGTTGTATTCTCAAAATGCCTGAAATTTATAAAACACATATGTTGGTTAGCCAAACATTTAATGCAAGATGGTGCATTAGCTACATTGCGAGAAGTGTCTGCCCTTTGTACAGTGTATTTGTTAATGCATTTAATGCGATTCAACACATATCCGAGGTTGGTTACTAGATATAGGTATTATTCTCCGACTCTGACTCCCAACTCTCACTGTCAACATCAAATCCCATAAATTCGAAATCAAAAGAGTAATAAAGCTGGCATCGCTCGGTGACGATAACCCTACGGGATTATAACAGTACTTAGTAAACCAACAGACATCTTAGTATATAATTTCAGCCACTTACATTTGTCATGAAAATTTGTTAGACAGTTAAAGTGAGTTAACGAAGCTATTATTCCACTGTTATTTTGCTTTACGACTAACTAGAGAATTGCTCAGGGTCATAACCATGATATATATTCAACAGTACTGTTACCGTTTAAAATCCGTAGAACGAGAAAGTAATTCTTGTAATATAGCCCAAGTCTAACGACCGAAATGCCAATATTCTGCTTGAATGCAGAACTAATGAACCAAAATGTATTCTATTAGACTAGAATACAGTTTTGTATAGCGTACAAGGCGTTTTCGAGTTACTTTTATTAAATTACATCAAAACACAAACTCTGTGCTCAATTTGAACGGTTATAATATAAGGCAGAGAACAAATTATATCAAAAATAAAAAGTACCTCAAACGGTACAGCCTGTAGTATTCAGTCAATGGTTTCTCTAACACAAATCAGAGTACTAATTATTAAAAAATAGGTAATACACAGGAGTTCAACACCTGAGAATCAGTAAATATGTTCCCAAAAAGATTGTATCAGATATCTATCTTCAAGAATTCCAGCAATACATCTTGGCAGACAGTCAAAGGTTAAAGGTCACGCATTAAATTACATCATGACCTTAAGTTCAGTCAAACGCCACCTTATCGTCCGGTAACATGTCACAGAAAAATTAAGTAACAAGGGTAAGTTTTAACCAAAGCCACATAATAAAAACTCAGGCTAGGAAGACTGAAAAACCCAATGTGTGACTAGAAGCGATCTAAGCAAAGGTTAAAATACACAACAGGGAGAAGAAATAAAACAAATAAGAATATTGTCCCACGAAATGCTCTGGAGGTATTTTCCGCTACACTAAGCGTTACACCTTATTCACTGTTTGGTAGTATGGTCAATATGTTTATCGACGTCAGGGATTTGGGGACTAAAATGCCTGCGACTTTTACTGAATTAGTCACAACATGACTTTAAGCTTGATTTGAATGTTCATTCCTACAGCATCTATGAACGTATTAAGCAGTTTCACCAAAACGGTGTTTAACTGATAGATTTCCAAAAGTTTTGTTGTAAAAGTTTTCTGACTCATCAATTCGATCTTTTAGTAAATTTACTGAGGTAGCATTCTATCTCTGAAACCTTGTTGTATATTGTTGATGAAACTGAATTATTATCATTTACCACAAAAATAATGGATAAAAAGATATAAACGCCTGTTATATATATATATATATACATGCAGCAACGTTGTTTGGGTCGAGTTGGAGATCCTACATGTTCTTAGTTTAGGACCATAAAGGAAACTGTCTGTTATAATGACTGTTTGATATGCTTTGGGTAGCTGACTATGTTGAGGTCTATAAAAAGGCTTTTCCCTGTAGTTTGGAGATGAAACTCCTAACCTATGGAGCCTCTCATGTAATACTATCCCTTAGCTCAACAACCCCTTCTGTTGCCTGACTTAGGAGTTTCCTGGAAAAATTACCATCTGTATCCACGAAGACTGGTGGTTGTCGATATGTGGTCTAACGTACATACTGAACTGATTGAAGATCAGTTTGGACGTCGGAAAACCTAAATCTACGCGGGCAACGTGAGGCATAAAACAAACTATGTCTAGTACACATGTGTAGTTTTCTATCTGACAATAAGCTCAGACCACGCTTTATTGAAAAAGTATTATTAAAAGATGAAGTAAGGTGTTGACAACAATTTGGAGGTGTGGTTTTATACGATTTAGCATTTTTAATTGCCTACCATCCTACTGATATCTGAATCCACGGTAAACTTATGACCCGACATTTTGATGCCTCCCAATTCTCAGATAATTTATATGGGTGTGAAGTGATCAAACAGGTTGTTTTGAAATGAAACTATAAATCCTCAGGAAAGAACAAGGGATGGTCGTTTGCAATGCTAGATATTCTGGCACTCTTCAGATTATCCACATACTGTCGACTTTGAAGTAGAACACTCAGCCTTTCAACTAACTTCGAAGATCAGACATGAAAGAGTTAATGAGACTAATCTGAACCAACTTTATGACTAGGAAGTTATTTTTAACAACATTCAATATTTTGACAAAATCAGACACAGTCAATGTACCGTTACTTTCCTTTATCAATAGGCTTTTAAAATTTCGCATAAAAGCCAAGGTGATAGGTACACATAACCTGGCGTTTATGAGCTCAAGTTGAGTCTATGTGAATATACTACATACGTCAACGTATTTCTTGATTTGGCTGTTGACCAAACTTTCTAATACGTTCAAAAATATTAGGAGTAAAGCTAGTCTGTGGGAATTCGGGTTCGCCTCAACAGTGTAAATCATTAGAGTGTATGGAGAAGTTAAATCGGTTTTCTCATAACCCAGTGAATTATCGGGACATAACTCTGTCAGTTCTTAAAGCATCAACGTTTGAGTCCCTCAAATTGTGCCCACACTTATGGTGAGCATACGGAGGTGATTGGTTTGTATTATTAGCATGCCCAATCTAGCTGCTTGTCAAAGTAACCGCCAAAGTTTTTAGTCACCACCGACCTGGTGACAGTACCAGCCTCCTGTAGGGTAATCTCTCGTCATGTCGTGAATCAGTGTGGCTACTCTGATCCTAGAAAATCATTTTTCCTCTAGGATCTTGGTGTTCCTGTTTTTTAAAACGTGTTAAATTACCTGATTTTTTAGGTGGCTGTTTCACTTCATTCAGGACTATGGTTGCACCGAGTTAGATGTTCTGTGCCAAGATGCAGCCAGAATATGGTGACTCAATTCCATCCCCAAGTGCGTTGCGACTGCCCCCTTATTGAGACTTTCTGTAAATTTATCCTGTCGTTAGTAACATGAACGTCTACAATAGATTTTGATAAGTATTATCTTGTAAGGTTCAGTATCGGAATACCGTTATGAGATATCTTTACAATGAAATGCCTCTATATCTTCCTTATCGTCATCCCCTGGTGATAAAGGGTGTGTGAAGAGTAATACGTTGGAATATATTATTAGAATAGCAGTCTTCCGAAGCAATTTGGGACTGTCTCAATCAGCTGCTTTCTTCTTGGTTGGTTCAACTGTGACATGGATACGACTGTTTACTTCCAAAAACATAGCTTGCGGAGAAGTTACTGGATAAACGCGAAGTTGTTTCTAGGATGGGGCGAACGTGACGTTAGAGTTATAAATGTCCTTCAACTTCATTCACGTGTGGCATATATTCACTTATTTCGACTTTTCGTCTCGCCTAATTCTTTAATTTTCTATGAAGCGGCATTCATGGTAATACCATTTCGAATAGCAGTTTCACTATACTTAGAAGAACAACTGGCAGAGACAAAGGTATAAAATCAAAAGTTAATAACAGGTCGATTATTATATCACAGTTCCTGACAATAAGATTATAAGAAGGCTCAATACAACTCCAGATAAAGAGCTTCAGAGGATCAAGTACAAACACGAACCACCCCAGTGAAGCACCAAAACTGAATCGCTAAGTAACCAGGATCAAATTCTTACAGGTTTCTACTCCAAGTAAGACTAGTAAGCAAAAACGTAGTGCGAGAAAAGAAAACCCTTAACTGCCCGTAACACTGACTACTAAGGAGAAACAACAAAAAACGACATATTGATTGCTCGTCGCTCGTTTAGGACAGAGACTCACCATTTGAGTATAGTTTCTGTGGTGACTGTGTGTCACTGTTGCTGTGATGCAAGAGCATCTAGGCAGTACTATAGATTTGTGTTAAGTCACACTGGTCGGTGAGTCTGATGCGTTTTCTCACGGTGTGGAGAAGCCACATCAGCAGAACTAATAAATAAGGAAGCGTAAGACTTTGTTGGAAACAGCCGTAACAATCTCAACCAGTATATTCAAATCGTCAAACACAAATTCAATCAAACACGCGACTATGATAGCCACAAATCGATCTTATACACTAAGGAAATTAATGACTGTTGCTAATACCCCAGTATCTGTTAACATCAAGGAGAGAGGGGTAAGTGTTGGGAATAGAAATGACAAAAGATCCCAGTACCGTTTGCTTCAAATGCCATCGCGTTATCCACTTAGCTACTGCGATGGGGTGAGGTTTACATCCACTTGGTTTTGTTCGTTTGAATCTTCCCATTGACTTTAAAAACTGCAACTGATCATTCTCTTATTCGCATATTTACATACTGTGCATATTTCCTCGATATTGCCTTCATTCACAAGCATTACAAGCAAAAATACTTGGTAGCGAGCAGTGGAATCCAGGTACAATCGAGTGAGTAAACTACAATCTACTGAATATTACCAAACACCCGGAACCGTATCGAAACAACAAAAATCGAGCTCAAAGAAAACAATCGGTTTATACTAGCTCGCAACAAAGATATTAGATTTGAAAGTTTCGTCAAGGAAAACATAAAGCGCCAGTTATGAAAATGGCTCTGACTACTGTTCTTAAGGATATCTTGCCATTGTTGGACATGTCAGTTTATTGTAACTACAAATCAGCTTTAGAAAAAACGATTACCTGTGTATCGCAGTATTGCAAAAGTGGAGCTTGTTCTGGTAAGTAGTGTATTCTGATAATACAAAAAATAGAACATTTGAGAATATTTTTCTTAAATGAGCGTATCAACCAATTATTTGTCCTTGTTATAAAAGACTGTGGCGTTACTAACGATTTATCCTACCCAAAGCTACCCGTACTCCTAACTCCTCCACCATCACCTGGCATTAGCTCGTTGTTATGTTCTCAATGTGGACAGTTTTTAGCACTCATATCTGAAACCTGCGTGTTTGTTGTGGATGCACAGTTCGGCGCAAAAGAATTTTGTCAGGTAATTTTTTTTCAAGTTTGAGTACTTTTTCCTGCGTGTAGAATCATTCGTACTTGGTTCCCACTAGTTACATTGTTTTTGAGTAAGGGGGAACATAAACGATGGATTTGAAATGAAGCATTATATTCGCCACGCAGAAAGTAGTAAAATAGGAAGCCCGCTAAACTCTCTTTTGAAGCTTGTTTTCCACTTATATTCCGAACTCCTCTTCATCCCTTCCTTTGTCTGTTCAGATTGATTCTGCCATAGCTATTCAACAACCTATATTACCGACTACATTTGGTAGAAATCACGAAACCGAAATATGATAGACGTATTAAGTTGATCACACTCTAATTTGACATCCGAGTTAAAAATCAAGTAGTCTCTTCAGTAGCGAACTATAATACCTAATTGCTATATTCAATGGAAGATAAATGAAACTAAAACTTTCAGTCAAGTAGTTCAACATTATATTACCAACTTACTGAACTTGATTTTCCTCATTAATAGTTGATTAGTTTAGTCGTAAGTGTCTACCTAGATGATGACCTGCAGATCAAGTAATTGTTTTCAATTATTGTCTGGCGCTTTAACCGGGTTGGTGGACATGGAGGGTCCACGTAGGGGAGTTGGAAAACCTCGATTCCAAACCAATGGTGCATATGGGCTCCAGTATCCTCAAAGAACAAATGGCGTATAAACCAATCGTCGGTCGCCGGCTACCATGGGTCTGCATATCCTTACGACGCTCCACTGTCTTGTGGGTCAGACCTTCAGGCCGAAGGCTCCGGGAGTGGCCTACTAAAAAAACCACCTGCTTCTGTTTGGGCACCCGGGAAGTACCACAGCCCTCACGCATATCAAACGAGATTTGTGTGGCGCATATGTATTTGGTGCCTCCTTGTACCAATATCTGTGTGTTAAAATAAAATACTGACTTGTCCGGTCAAATATTTCACAAGATACTGTAATGACCTGGATTATCAGTCGCTTCCGTTGTTTTGTATCATTGCATCTCTCTTAAACTCCGTTCCCTGTAAGCATTTGAGTAATGTCAAGCTTAGGGATGGTGTGGTCTTGTTCTTTTGAATAACATTTCTTATTAACGCCAATGTTTGAGGGTAAATATTCCATTCAGGTCTTGAACGTATGCCTATTGATGCGAATTTCGTTAATCGACTTGGGATGACTGGAAACCTCGGTTATCACTATCATAACCAAAGTTAGAAATCTGAGCAATTAAATTTCCATACTAGAACACTGAACAGACCTGCTGTTGCCATTACAAATCAAAAATTTAACTGTATGGCAAATGTTCCTCTTCAAAATAGGATAAGTTCATGTCAATCTTTCTCAAAATGCAGTCAGTCGGTGGTTTAAAGAGCTGTAACTCTTATCATTCTGATACTTATTCCAACTGTTGCAGATGGAGATATAAAATCTATGTGTATTTCTGCGTGCTTATATGTACGGCCCATTAGGAATTATATAAGTAGCAAATTTCTACGCCCTGGTTGATGTAAATCACATCACCTTATTAACTTGGGATTGTTTTCTAAACCAATAATATGCAAATTTATACGTAATACATTTTCCGACCAGTTCTTGCTAACTAGTAGCACTTCTCATCGTTTATTTACGAAAACAACTCTCTTTTATCAATCAACACGGTTTATTCATGCTTTGTTGCGGAATTATTTATAGGAATTCATTTTTCACCTTCAGGTCACTAGCTATAATATGACTTAGAAGTTACACTGCTTATTACTTAGTAATTTGTGCTCCGAGCGCGCAAAGCAGTTTTCAGATATAGGTTAGTTTTTTTTCACGAACTAATATCGTCTGTAGAACAATTAAAAATCAATAAATAACACTAAACTCTAGGAGCCTTCTTCCAGTCACTTGATTTTTCTAATGGAAAGCTCTTTCAACATCTGACAAGTCTGTGTCGTTTGTGTGCTCAAGTTCTATAAGATTCCCGAGTAGAATATTTATCTATCATGTCAAACTAAACTTTTACCACGGAAAGCATGTCTATAGCATTTAAAATAGAAGTATCCCACCCTCACTATTTTACTATTTTTCTAGGACCAAATTGTTCGTCCAATATACTGTGCTATTGATCTTAGAGACCTTTCCTCCAAATCAAAATTAAATGACGTTATAGTAAAGGTGCGGTGGCATCCGAAATCTAACAGAACATTGGTTATTGTAACCGAAAATTCCTTTATATATTACATTCATTGTGTAAAGTCCTCAGAAAATCAAAGCATTCGATTCAATTTATGGCTTGAAGCAGATCTTTCAGTATTTACTCATAGCGCTCTTGATGCTACCTACCAGGATATGAATGATTCGGATGAGAGTTCTTGCAATGAAAACGATGATAACAGTTCATCAGTGTCCAATACGAAAATGAATCTCAGTTTTGCTTTAGGCAGCAAGTGTGTCGACTTTGATTTCGGTTCCGCACTATTTATATCAAAACGCGGTTTATCGGAAGCTCAGTTACAAGATTGCTGTTTGTTCCTTCTTTACGAAACAGGTAAGAAGGTTTACTGTTTTGTCGGTTCATATAACGTTTTCCCCACTCATGTTCGTCGTATTCCGACTTTTCAGTTGTTGAAAGTAGGGCTCGATAGTTTTAAATAAATATCACCTTTTGAGTATATATTCGCGACTTGTCCGCTTCTGTTTCAAAAGACAGTTGGTGTTACTAATTTATGAAAAGCTTGATGCTAAACGTTCACAAACTTATCGGTTCACCAAACATTGGGCGTAAAATTTGATGATACCTTTAGTAGCCATTATGTTTTTAGATTCATCCACCAACCCAGTGTAGTGTTTCGGAACAAAACGGGATGTACTATCCTAACTAAACTTTACTTAGATCATTTACGAGCCTTGCTCAGATGTTCAGTACTTTGCAAATTATCATGCCAGTCACTTAATCATTGTCAAAATAAGACCTAAAACAAATATGGATTGGTCCGGGATCACTTTATGCACTTAAGACATTGTCAAAGGAATCCTATTCTATCTAAAGGATCTCGAGTCACTGACTGGTCGAAAGTTGAATGCTACCACCGACAACGAATGCTGAAAAGGTCTTTCTGAAACCACGTATACTTTAGTATCGGTTACTATGTTGAGCCCAAATAACTTATTTTAGCTTCTGGATAGGCCAATTCATCCATTCTTCTTGAGTCACGTTTTGACCCTGTTAATTGTTCACTTATCAACCCTGACTATATTTATATGAGCGTATGTGTGTGTACATCTTATTCTACTCATGTCTGTAGCTTACTTTTGTGTGACTACGAAAAATCGATTAACGCTTGATTAAATTGAGTTGGCTCACATGCCTTCTCCAACGCGCATCATTTCGTCTCCCCTCGTTCCTTCAATCACCAGCCTGGATCAATAATTGTACAAAATATACGCATTCGAAATCCTTTTTGGTATTTGACTTATTTTAATTCCGTTATTCATTAACGCGAGTTAATTTGATAGTTATATACGAGGATAGCAAGAATATATATTTTGACAACAATCATTGATCCAGGCTGACAATCAAAGGAACGAAGCGAAACGAAATGATGCGCAGTGGAGAAGGCACGTGAGCCAACTCAATTTAATCAGGCTTTAATCAATATCTGTAGTCACACAAAAATAAGCTACAGACATGTGATGAGTAGGATAAGATGTACACACACATACGCTCATATAAAGATAGTCAAGGTTGATGAGTGAAAAGCGGATAGGTGGTCAGTGTATGACATGGTGTCGTGGTATGAAAGAAAGCTGTACAGGACCCGCTTCTGTTGGTTCATCATGACTCCCTGGTTAGAGTCCAGGAGATGATGCAACACAGTGTCTTGAGACGTTATCAGACATGGCTCATGGTAGAAGCCAGTGGCGATCCTGTTATAACTTTATTTTACTTCATAAAAAATGAACGTAACATTTTTAACTGAAAGGATTCTTTATGGTTGTATTTTTGCCAACTGAACTGCCTCTCCTATTATTATTATTATTTCACTCTCATACACTAATTTCTGTTCATTGTTGTCCTTTTTCTTATACACATTTTACATTCTCTATCTCTTCACAGTCTCATTGTCATTGTGTGGTGCATATGTATTTGGTACCCCTCTGTACCAATATTTATATTCACATACATAAACGATTGTAGGTGTTATGCGGACATCAACGAGAACGTGTTTTTCCACATATCCGATTTTCCTATTTTATTCAAATCCCTTCTTGAGTTTTTACATTGATTTTTCCCTGTTATTATAAAATATGTTTAGTCTAATTTGTCATGTATTAGTTGCTTGACCCCCCCCCCTTATGTTTAAGACTGCAAATGATTAGTCCCTTATCGGCATATGTGCATCCTTTATGGATTGCCTCGATATTGCCTGAAGTCATAAGTGTTATTTTGTTCAGTCAGAGTTGTACATTTTAACAATGTTATCTTTTCACTCTAACCAAAACGTTTTGACATTGTTTTCAATCTAATTAGAATGTCTCGAAAACTGCCCTTATAATGTTTAGTATAACATGCAAATAAAAATATCACCCTTGGTAAATCTGTATATTCTTCTTCAGAACCAATGTATTTTTGGCAATTTTCTGTGTAGTATAGTTTTTTTCTGCATATCAATTTATTCACAGTGGAAGAGTACCCATTAAAACATAAAGGTTATTTTTACTGAGCAATAGTCACTAAGTTACTGAATCTTTAACCGCTATTCACTCGGCTTTTCTATAATTAGTCTTATTTTTAATAGTAGTAATAATAATAACAACAAAAATATTCACAAAGATTCTCTTTGAGTATATCTTGATAAACATTGAGGAAAAAATAAACGAAATTGTATATTCAAAATAATGTAAGCAATTAATAACAATAAGTTTTCATTGATTTATATAGGTGATGTTATTCAAGTATGTGGATGCTTGTCCGTTCGTAAAATGAATCAGCTAAAATGTAATGTTTTGCACATTTTCCCACCATCAATTGATAATTATGGAGATGAATTCTGTGCTATTCATTGTATTCGTCCTATTGACAGTTCAGAAATGTTTTCATTTGAAAAACCTCCTGATATATTAGTGTTAGCTGATAAAATTGGTCGTTTGCATAATGGTATTGTTCTGCGAGCCAATATACCTGGACAGAATAAAAACAGTGAGTTTATTTTTAAAGATTTCGTTATGTTGGTGGACTGGTTGTGAAATTGTTGACTGTCTTAATATACTTTCACTTTGAATTTACATACAGTTAAACGTTTTATTATCACTTTTGAATTCAATACCTTTCTCTTAGTCACTAGACAGTAAAGTGAATATACTTTTTCGTGAGTATATCTTCAAGAATTGTTTTTGCTTGATTAAATTCAACTTCAATGATTTGTAAAGAAAAAGTTGATTGGTCCAGTTATAGCTAATTCATTTGTGGATATAGTAGTCAAAATGAACCGTATTCATGAACTAAAAATTCTACTACTGAATTAGTCGAACACTTAGAACTACTTTTCATAGTTTTTATGTTGTTGTTGTGAACTGATGATAATGTACCTATAGCCCATACTTTCAATCTTTTAGCACATATCTTTGTGTAAATAACTGAAACTATTTACTATTGTAATTGAATAAAATAATTTAGAACTTAGCAAGCTACTGAATTGGTTCTGAACCCTAATTGCTAATGACTAAGCGAAAAATATCAGATATAAAAAACAGAAATTCACGAAAATCCAATTAAATAGAGGCAAAAGTTAATTAATGGTACACAATTACTGAATAACTCCGCCTGGAGTCCCTCCGGGGGCTACTGCCGGTCCCAAGCCCGGATAAAGGAGGAGGGTTGGGCATGGGGTTAGCGTCCCCATCCCGTAGAAAACTAACTCGTTAAAAAAACGCTAACCAGAAAAAAATATTCAAACCTTTTAAACTCTGCCCTGGGAGTCAGAAGGTCTTCATTTAGAAGAATTATGACGCCTCACTATGAAAGCCGAATTCCTTCGGAAGTTACGAGGCCGATGCCCCTTCTGACAACCAGAGCGACCATTTATTTAGGTACATGGAATGTTCGTACAATGTGGGACACCGGAAGAGCCTTCCAAATTGCTGCAGAAATGAGAAGATACAACCTAGAGGTACTTGGGATCAGTGAAACACATTGGACACAAGTTGGACAACAACGACTAACTACAGGAGAGCTCCTGTTATACTCCGGCCATGAAGAAGAAAATGCACCACATACACAAGGAGTTGCATTGATGCTGTCCAAACAAGCGCAAAATGCACTTATAGGATGGGAATCTCATGGACCAAGGATCATCAAAGCCTCGTTTAAAACAAAGAAAGAGGGCATTTCAATGAACATCATCCAATGCTATGCGCCTACCAACGACTACAATGAAGACGCTAAAGATCAATTCTACAATAGGCTGCAGTCAATAGTCGAGAAGTGCCCAACAAAGGACCTGACCATTCTGATGGGAGATTTCAACGCCAAGGTTGGAACGGACAACACTGGATATGAAGACATCATGGGACGACACGGACTAGGAAAAAGAAACGAAAATGGTGAGAGATTCGCAAACCTATGTGCCTTCAATAAGCTGGTCATAGGCGGCACCATATTCCCACATAAACGCATACACAAAACCACATGGACTTCACCGGATCACTCTACACAAAACCAAATCAACCATATTTGCATCAACAAAACGTTCAGGAGGACTATAGAGGACTTGAGAACCAAGAGAGGAGCTGATATAGCATCAGATCATCACTTGCTGGTCGCCAAGATGAAATTGAAACTCAAGAAGCACTGGACAACGGGGCGGACAGTATCACAAAAGTTCAATACCGCCTTTCTCCAGGATACTAACAAACTCAACGAATTCAAGATAGTCCTCAGCAATAAGTTCCAGGCCTTTCATGACCTACTCAATGGAGAGTGGAGAGCAACTGGAAGGGGATCAAAGAGGCAATCACTTCAACATGTCATGAGGTCCTGGGCCACAAGAAGCACCACCACAAGAAATGGATCACTGTTGATACACTGGATAAGATTCAAGAAAGAAGGAACAAGAAGGCAGCGATCAATACCAGTCGAACAAGAGCAGAAAAAGCCAAGGCACAAGCTGAATACACGGAAATAAACAAACAAGTGAAGAGGAGCATCAGAACCGACAAACGTAAATATGTGGAAGATTTAGCAACGACGGCGGAAAAGGCTGCAAGAGAAGGAAACATGAGACAATTGTATGACACGACAAAGAAACTCTCTGGAAATCGCCGCAAACCAGAACGACCAGTGAAAAGCAAGGAAGGCGAGGTAATCACCAACATTGAAGAGCAACAAAACAGGTGGGTAGAACACTTCAAAGAACTGTTGAATCGACCAGCTCCACTGAACCCACCCAACATCGAAGCAGCACCAACGGACCTCCCAATCAATGTTGGCCCACCAACAATTGAAGAAATCAGCATGGCCATCAGACAAATCAAGAGTGGCAAAGCAGCAGGACCGGACAACATCCCAGCAGAGGCACTAAAAGCAGACGTAGCGGCAACTGCAAGGATACTCCACATTCTCTTCAATAAGATTTGGGATGAGGAACAAGTACCAACAGACTGGAAAGAAGGACTTCTGATCAAAATACCGAAGAAAGGCGATCTCAGCAAGTGTGATAACTACAGGGGCATCACTCTTCTCTCAATACCGGGAAAAGTCTTCAACAGGGTATTGTTAAACAGGATGAAGGACTGCGTAGACGCCCAACTTCGTGACCAACAGGCAAGATTCCGTAAGGATAGATCGTGTACAGACCAAATCGCAACTCTACGGATCATTGTGGAACAATCAATTGGATGGAATTCATCACTCTACATCAACTTCATTGACTACGAAAAGGCATTTGATAGCGTGGACAGAACAACACTATGGAAACTTCTTCGAAAATACGGCGTGCCACAGAAGATAGTCAATATCATACAGAGTTCATATGATGGATTACACTGCAAAATCGTGCATGGAGGACAGTTGACAAAGTCGTTCAAAGTGAAGACCGGTGTTAGGCAAGGTTGCTTACTATCACCCTTTCTCTTTCTCCTGGTGATCGACTGGATCATGAAGACATCAACGTCTGAATGGAAACACGGGATACAATGGACATCTAAGATGCAGTTGGATGATCTAGACTTCGCAGACGATCTGGCCCTTCTGTCCCAAACGCAACAACAAATGCAGGAGAAGACGAACAGTGTAGCAGCAGCCTAAGCAGCAGTAGGTCTCAATATACACAAAGGGAAAAGCAAGGTTCTTCGACAAAACACATCATGCACCAATCCAATCACAATTGACGGAGAAGGTTTGGAAGATGTAAAAACCTTTACATATCTAGGCAGCGTCATTGATGAACAGGGTGGATCTGATGCAGATGTGAAGGCGCGGATCGGCAAAGCAAGAGCAGCATATTTACAACTGAAGAACATCTGGAGCTCAAAGCAACTGTCAACCAACACCAAGGTCAGGATTTTCAATACAAATGTCAAGACAGTTCTACTGTATGGGGCGGAAACCTGGAGAACTACGAAAGTCATCATTCAGAAGATACAGGTGTTTATTAACAGTTGTCTACGCAAAATACTTCAGATCCGTTGGCCGGACACTATAAGCAACAACGTACTGTGGGAGAGAACAAACCAGATTTCGGTGGAGGAAGAAATTAGGAAGAAGCGCTGGAAGTGGATAGGACACACATTGAGGAAAGCACCCAACTGCGTCACAAGACAAGCCCCCACGTGGAATCCTCAAGGCCAAAGGAAAAGAGGAAGACCAAAGAACACATTACGCCGAGAAATGGAAATAGACATGAGAAAAATGAACAAGAATTGGAGGGAACTAGAAAAGAAGGCCCAGGACAGAGTGGGTTGGAGAATGCTGGTCAGCGGCCTATGCTCCATTGGGAGTAACAGGCGTAAGTTAGTAAGTAAGTAATTACTGAATAAAATAGGCAATAAGTTCATTCATTGGATTAGTGGTAATTTTGAACTACATGATTTTAAGTTTCAAGTTACATTAGTCAAAATGTCGTTATGGAATTTTTTCCTATTCGTAGTGACCAATTTTAGGTTTTTTTATAGAATTTTCCTCGTGATCTTTATATTGTTTGGCATTTTTTTAGATATATGAGACTCATGACTTGGGTATGCTTCTTACTATATTTGGACTCAAATCAAGGATGTAGATATATTTCAATTTGTGGATTACTGTTTAGCCATTAAATCTAAATTAAGGTTACTACGTTTTTGTAACTTGGATTCATTAATTGTTAAGGGAAATCACCACTTGGTATGACTGTTAACTGTCTCTTCTTGTAACAAATTATCAAGTACAGGTTTGCTTACCACGGCTTTCAGCTGCATTGTTTGTACGAGGGCTAGCGTAACATTACTTGACTACTCGAACCGAATTACGTGAAACTGTGTTCTGACCTGTAATCTTTTGTCAGAAAACTGGATGCTTTAACTACTAATCCAGATTTCCTGATCGGTGAAATCATCAGTCAGTCAGTAACAACGTAGACGGTGAAATCATAGTATTCTATGATCACTGACGTTACATGATAACGACCCAAAATCGGTCACCGTTCCATAATTGCATTCATTCGTTGTCTTGCTCTAAATATTTAGTCTTAATATTATTCCATACTTTTTCAATTCATATTCTCTATTGTTAGCGGAATATAGATTGGGTTAAAGCATGTTCCGTGCAAGATTGTGTTGGTGCATGTTGATTGGCTATTTCTTATCCAATCAGCGCTAACAGATACTTGTAGAAGACTCTAGAATCTTCTCATGTAGAAACTGTAAATATACTAACGCTTTTCTTATGGTGCTTCTTACTTCCATCTATCCTTGTTATTTGGGATATAATTCCGTTCCTCCTCAATTAGGTTCTGATTTAGGGACTTGTCAAGTGAATCTGGTGTCCAAGAATACTAAGCAATAGAAATAGCTGGGTCGTAATAAGAGAAATTATAACATCTACATATTTCGTTTTACTATTATTAGAAACTTTATTTTGTATCTTTTAATTATCATCTTTGTTAATTTCCTCTCTCTGTGCTAACGTGATGTGAACAACAGATACATAGATCGATACCTGGATGTTTTTCTAAACACGATTTGCATTAATTTACTTTTATATTGTGGAAATCGATTGTGAAATCGAGAAATTTATTTCATAATAATTATTGTCACCTTAATATGTTTTCTCTAACTTACCAAATCATTAATCTTTATTAGAACAAAAATAAAACATTCTTTTTTATTCTTTCAGAAAATCAAACTACAACCCCTCCAGTTTTACTATGTCTCGTTGATATTGTGGATCTTGATCTAATGTCTAGTAATAGAACAACTGTGCAACAGTGTCATCCAAACGGTAGTATACTTCATTCTTCAAATTATTCTGATTACAATCATTTTGAATCTCCATCGTTGTCATTAGAACCAGCTAATCTAATTTTTTTGGACAATATTGAATATAATAGTTATTCAATAGATGGTTCAGATTTTGTTAAAAATAGAATTTTTGGCTTGAAATATTCACATCAAGGATATTATGTAATTCATCATATGGGCATTCATCTTGTTAGTCTGTCATGGATTGAAAATCTTTCACTATGGTGTAGTGAATTTAACAGTCAACTGTTAAATGATTCTAATAAATCTCTTATTGAAGGTAATTATCACACATTGTTAAATGATTATTAAATATAATGATTTTTTATGATAAAGAAATATTAATTAATTCAACCTGCAATGTTTAACACTAGCCGCCGCACCAACGTGTATTTCTAGATGGTTTAAAACTATATCAGACTAATTAGCTGGGGACATGGAAGTAGTCGATGAAGTTATCAACTTTTGGTCTGCTTTTTTTCGATTCCAACATTCTTTTGAATATAACATTATGCTTATTTTCACTCTATAATGTTGTTAAAATCAGATATATCTGTCTGTTTTTATTTGAACTAATTTATTCATATGTCATACTTCAAAATGAACAAATACTTGTCTATGAAATCATAGATCGAGTATGTTTTACTAATTGAATGAATTTGAAAAAAAACATCAGTTAGTAAACTTTAAATTAACTACAGCAAGCTGATCATAATACTGAGAATTTACTTACCTTAGTTTCAGAAAATTTTATTATAGACTATCATTGAAGAAGACGAAAAAAACTGTATAATGGTTTCCGGTGTTCATTGAAATTTTCAAATATTGTCGGTTTGCAGATGAAATAAACATCTAGTGATATAGTGTCACACAAACCCACAATCTGATTGAAATTCATTACTTACTGGTAGATCTTCATTTACTAGAAATTAAATGTATCACTATGTAGAGATGCCAAGTTTTTTTCATGATTATGACTTGACTATAAATTGGTCATTCTCTGATGGTTTATTTTCGTCGGAAATTTTTGAATTTTTTTATTTCAGAGATTCGGGATTGGCAGTCATGTGTGAAACACCTTGTCTGTGGCCAAATTACCATCTCTACCCCTGATGGGATGAATGAAGATATGGAGGGAAAGTTTAGACTAGCTGGTTTCATTGAACTATCATGTAATTTCCTGTCAAAAAGTCAACCGAAATCTAAAACTACAACCACATTAGCTGATTGTCGATCAACTAAAGGTGTCACACTTTTGTTTATTCGTGCACCTATCCAACCAATTGATTCAACTGCCGGTATAACTGATTATTCATGTTTGGTACATTTCATCAGTCTAACACGGAAACCTGAAAGTTATGCTATGAAACAACGTTATACTGGGTTAGATTCAAGGTTACTAAATTTATCTATCTTCATACTCATATGATAACTGCATTGAATATAAGTCTTGATAAAAATAACTATGATAAGAATTTGTAAAGTTTTATAGCTGGTCAAACTTGTCTTTGCAATATGATTTATTTATTACTATAGTTGACAGCAAATGTAGTAATAGGCAACCGTTTGACAAGTCTAATGCTCGAACATTTGATATCGACTTCTAACTCCTTCCTAGTTTTCCATAAATCTCTAACATTTGATTAGGAAACAAAAGGCGGAAAAGTATGAGAAGTGGCTTCACTCCCAAGGTTATTTCAGGTACAAAAAACAAGGATATTTATAAGTTTATGTGTGATCGTGATATCCTGGAAGCTTCCGGACATAAACTAAAATTCGTAACAAAATCGGTAATTATTCACTTAGGATATGAAATGTAATCTGTCACTTTTCAAGGACTGTCTCGGAAGTTTCTATTGAAATCTGATTCAGCAAAGCGTTCCCAACCTTTTCCTGGTTTCTGAATAAAGATCTACCCTCATCTCATTCAGAAATATATAAAAGTTGACTGAAACTGAACAAAATTGTTTTTCTTTGATTTTTTTTTGCATAAGTACAATAAATCCATTTTGTACAGTCTGATTTTTATTCATGTCGTAAATAATAAAGTTGAACATCGTTGTTCGATTATTGCCTTGATTGAAGTACGATCGTGTATCTGGTAATTAACATCCGGAACTATTGACCCAACAATTACAGATTTTGCCTTAAAAATGAATAGATTAGATACTTTGGTATGATTCTGGTTTGTATAATTAGCCTTCAGAAGGAAAATTAAAGATTCGTATATTTTAACGACTCTTGGTTAACTTGGATTTTCGGACAATAGAACACAGAGTAACGAAACACTTACATATAAATACAAATGATCATAAGATTCAAGTGTCAATCTAAGTAGTCAAAAGGTGGTTGTACATCACGATGAAGTATCTTCAAAAAGCATTATTTAAAATCGGTTTGAATATTCATGCAATTATTAATAGAAACAGGTCTAGGTCAAAGTATTAGCTCTACGCTGATACTAATCTTAGTATAGAAACTTGTTCTTGTTTAATAACTTACATGTTTGCCGCACTCCACTCTCACTCTCATAAATACGTTGACTGAAAGATATTCTTCATCATTCTCTGGACTCGCATTTATCACGCACATTTTTATGTATTCGACTTTGAGTAGTCCCACTGTTCTTATGAGGACCATTGTTACTACCCAGCTGATAAGATTAAAGGTGTAGTGGCGTCTGATTGTACAATTTACTTTTTAAAAGCCAAATGTTTTAACCATTAGGTCTCCGTTCCATTCTCTCAGGTACTATCGTGTATGTAACATTACTATGATGTGTACTTTTTTAAACTTGTTTTCATCGTTATGTGAAATAAGTTTAGTACATTATTAAAAACCAGGTAGCACTAGTGATTCGTCTTGTTTTTGTGTGGGACTTCTCTGCGCTGTCAGTCGACAGTCACTTCCCCTTAATCAAGTGCATAATTTAAGAGTTATTTTTATTCATTTTTTGGACTTATTTTATCCTCGTCATATGTGTGATGTACAATGTAAGTTGATAAATTCTTTTGCCTTTTTATATCTCAGAACTACTGATCATTATGATTCCTGTGATTCAACTCTCCGTTCACACTTCACATCTCAAATAAAACAAGTGTTATCGGGAGACAATTCACATTTTCCGATGATAACCGGTTTAAATTTACAACCCGATCTTACCCAGCAACAGTTGGTTCAATTTTTTATTAAGGTAATGTTTGAATCTTATAATTCAGTTCCTGAATATTAATTGTTACTGGTTGTAGTTGCACCGATATTGAAACTATAACTACTTACTCGTGAAATGTTTCTGAATTCATTTTGTCTGGTTGTTAGTTTCATATATAATGATCAAATCAGAACATCATAGTCTAGATCGGTGCTTACCACTTTTGTTCGAAGCCCACTCTGCCTACTTTGGCTTAAGAAACTGATTAGTATCGTTAGCCTTCACACCGCTGCACATACCTAATGCACAAATTGGTTATTATTCCGAACTCATTGTTTGATTGCAGGCCTTTAAAATTTCTAACTTCTCACTAGTCAAAATGGTTATCATAACTTTTAATGCAATTGTAAATATGCTATCATACTTCGAAACTTTGAATGACTGGAAATAAGTAACCTTATGTAGTTTGATTTGTTTCAGGTCTCTGATATACTGCGCAAAGGACCTCTAGATCGTCTAATGAAAGCTCGCTCAATGATTGAACATCACTCTAGACAGTTACAAGATATAATTTCAGCTCAACATTCCGAAGCAATGAAGCTAACATCTGAACGTCAAACTTTACAATCTAAAGCTGAGGACTTAGCAAAACGTCACTCTGTAATCGTCGAGCGTCAAAGTATGTTGGATAAACGTATGGCTAACTTATCAACCCGTTTAGCCGGTAAGTAAATAGTTCTTTAACTTCCTGTTACATTCTTATAAATTTTAAAACAAAATGTAAGAATGTGTTGCTGAAGCTTACGCCTATTTAACACTATAAAAACTGAATGTAGCGATTACCAGGTATCCTGATCAAGTCAGTCAGTTTTAAGCAACATCGGATCTTCTATAGGTATGCATCAGTTCAAGTTGCTATATTTCACCAACACAGCAACGTTGACTCAACAAATCAAATAACGAGATTTGAAATATCATAAAATGCTAGATATCGAGGAACGTGTTTGTAATTAAAAAATGATGTGACGTTACGTAGTAGTGGGATACTATTAGGATTCATGGTCTGGTATCTGGACTAATGAGACCGATTTTCAACCTCGTCTCGTGAGGTCCCTAATTATGAACTGCAACTATCGTACTAGCTCCAACTAGATACTCGGAGCCTACCAATATAGCCCACACTAGGAGCCAGTGACTTCATGGCTTAATTCCACTCCGTCTGCAGTCTGCTCCTTCGTTAACCAGCATTGCTAATTGAAGTATTACCTTGTACAGTATTATGTGGAATTATAAGGTGACTGAAACATAATAAGATCTTTGGGTTACAGGTTTTTCTAGCCAGTAAAATTTTTTTCAGTAATCGGGCTAACTGACCTATGCAGTCTATTGTTTTTTAGTTGGATCACAAATTGACTCGTGAAAAGTCACTCATCTCATTTGATTAAAGCTTAAAGTAGAGTAATGCGCAAGCGCTTTAGTATACGATACCTGCTCATGTAAAAACCCCACATCTACTATCATGGTTGTTTGGCTCGTCTGTAAAATTCCTCTGAACTCCGAAAGAGTGGCTTACTACCTGATTTTCTGTTTAAATAAATGGAAGTTAATGAGTCGAAATGATAGTTCATTTAGATCAGTTTGTCCCATCTATTGCAACCTTTAATATATAGTGGTGAAATATCTTCAAAACTAAAACTTTTCCATTTCAGTTATTTTTAACGTGTATTATCCTGTAAGTGTTCATTACTGATTTCCACTGATATGGTTATAATTACTTCTGTGTTTAGCTTTAGGCGAAGGTCCTACTAAAGCTGAAATCGCAATGCGTAGTGAAGTTATCGTAATTCGTGATCGTCTACACAAAGGCCTTAGGCAATGGTTATCGAATCTCAAGAACCGTCGTGACAAATTGGAAAAACAAATACTGTTGCGCAAAAAAACAGATAAATCATCTATTCGTAACTCTCTTCCCAGCAGCCTTCTTAGAACCACCGAAAATATCGAAGGAAATCAGTGGCAGACAGTATCAGAAGAACTTCGCCGGGAAACTTTAGAAATCAAAATGTTAATTAACGCAGTTAAAACGCTTAACACAAAGACTATAAATCCCACCTAGTGTCTTATTTTATTTTCCCGTATATAAATAATTCCAGATAGAAATAATACTGAACCCGTTCATTTGGATTATTTTGTACACCTGTAAGTTAATTTTACAAGTAAATTATCCTATGAGTTATAAATATTCGACCATGTGACACTACTTTTATTTTTGAGTACTAAACTTTGTCGAGCAAAAAAGATTGTTCAGTGTGTTTCACTCATATAATACGTGTGTATCAACTTTAACACATAAAATTTTGGTTTACTGGGCTGTAAATTCCGGTGTGTAATGAGCTTTTAAGAAAAATGGTCCATACCTGAATGAAAACCTTTATGCCAAAAACGGCGATATGCCTAGCTGTTCTGGCAGATCACATCAAGATTTCATTATAGGTCAAGTGCTAACAAGGGAAAAGTACGTTGAATGATTTAAATGCTTACTAATCGAAGGTTCTGACTAACTTCAAATGCTGAAATCAGTCTATCTACCTGTAAGCACATATAACCTGTGATAGTATTCAGTGCAGTACTATTATTCGTCCGAGAGATCATAGTTGTTGGGATATCTCATATTTCCAAGTTTCAAACTTGGAAACCATAAGTGGTAAATCGGGCCGGACTTGTTTATCTCCAACCTCTTAAATTTTTGCATGGGTTTGATGTGTTTATCAGTTGGAGCTATCAGTTTGTTCTCAGTGTTCTTTGCTTACTCAATTATTAGAGTTGGTAAAAATGTGGTGTATGCTACTTACGCTGAAAGATATAATTAGTATGCAACAACAATTGGAAGTGGAATGCTTGGCAGCAGAAGATTGAAATGAAGATAACAGGGAGGAAATCGGAGAGTAATCGAAGTAACAACAGAATTAGAGGAATAGTGGGGCATGCGGAAAACAACCCAAAGAAGCAGTGCGAACGGTGTATTTAATGTATGGTTTTCATATTTTACCGAATCACTGTAATTTTGTATTAATCAATAAACTGGTTTTCCCCACCTGAGTTTACGTTCGCTACACTAGTAACTTGAGTAACAAGAGCGAAAATGGAGAACGAAACCAAAACCTAGAGCTATCGACAATCTAACTGGTCAGCCATTTAAATCGTTACAGAATCGGTTTAACACCAAGTCACTCGGAAGTGACTGGTTGTAGTGTTATTAAGTTCTCTTGACCTTGCTGTAAATGTCAAACATAATTCACCTCACAGAAACTCAGCTGCAGGAGCCATGAGTGTGAACGAATAATCATCTTTCTTTTAATCTTTGAGTTATCTTGTTAGAAGGGATTTTTGTACAAGTAGCATTCAGTTTCACGTTTCTTAGTCATATTTATGGATTTTTTTCGTGATTAATTCATTTTAACTCAAAAGAGTGAAAAGACAGTAATAGATCTAAACCTAAGGAGTACAGGTCCCTTTCGTGTGTTCAACTACTCAAACTTACTGTATGATGATGTGGATTGTAGACTGCTTGTGTGACAGGAGCAAAAGCCATAAGAATTTCCGGCGCGACTAAAATTTATGGACGAATCAATCAGGTATAAGATAACAGGTCTTGAAATTTGGTGCGGAATTCATCCAACTATTTGGCTTAATAGCGTCTTGGTATTTTAGGGGCGAGACTCCAATTTATGGACGATCTTTGAACGAATCTTTGAGTGACCTTGAGAAATATTAGCCAATCAACAAACAGTCAGTATAGAGTAAAAATATGTTATGCAAAACCAAGGAAATAAAGTGGATACACTCCTTGTACGTGGTAATGCATGCAGTGGAGGAAATCATCCATACAGCTACAGAATAGTCGGCCTCCGGTTGTTGAGTGCACGCTCTCTAAACATCCGTATAAATTGTAGTACCTGGCTGCAGCAAGTGTTACTGGTGCTTTTATTATCCAGTTCGCAATAATTGTAATTTGCCTTAGTTAGGAATTATATATGGGGTTTTCATCACAAACTGACATCAGCTATAATGCCAGAAATTTATTTAGCCGAATGGATGGAAGGCTTTCGCGCCAAAATCCGAGATCTATTATCTTATACCTGATTGATCCGTCCACAAATCATAGTCTCGCCATTTTATTTATTATAGCCGCTCAATTATCACGTTTTGTACAAAATTCCCTGTGAACCGATCGTACGTTAGCATTAAGCACTGAAGTTGGTGCCGTAAACCTGATTGGCTCGTCCATAAATTAGAGTCTCGCCATTTTAGGTATTGAAGCACACTGCTCACGTCGTTTACTTCCTCCTTTAGTCCCTAGTTTGTCTCTGCTCGTTTTCAGAAGAAAAAGATTGGGAATCTGCTCAGTCGGTCGCAAGAATAGTCAGATTTAATTCGGGCCAGGATCTCTTCTGGAACGATAACCACTCGCATACTCTTTACTAATTCGATTTTCCGCATGACCTTTGTCCTCCGATTGGTCCCCATGTTTTTTTTAGTTTGCTGGATTGCTACATGCTCGAAGGTCATGTTCTGCCACTACAGTAACAACTTTGGTACGAATTTCTCTTGAGTTGCTTGTTATACTACAATTATTAGGTTACCCTTAATCCCATCTTCTTTCTGTCTTAGCCGTCGAGGTTTGATGTGTTGAGCATAATTAATTGTTGTTAATTTAGAAGAAAACGGATCATATTAGAAAAGTTCAATCGTTTTGTTCCTAAATCCGCAACGTAGTAGGCTGTACTGAACCCCAATATCCTTCTGTAACCAAGAACGATCTCCTACTGTCTAGGCGTAAAACATATTGGACTTATATTTATCTGTCTCCACATAAAGATATAAAACATTCGTGACTGGTGGTGATATGTCTTTACAGTATAAGTTGGAAACTACTCCCTTGTTAAAATGACCTCTTCTTAGTTTACACAACCTTGAAGGGCTGTGGGAATTCACTATTTGAATACCACGAACTGGTCCCACAAATGGTGTCCCGCCTCGCTTTGCTAGTACATTTGCATCTGTGCTTAATGAATGATTTTCAAATATTCTTATTATTGGTTCACTTCTATTATTGCTTACTATTTTATTATTCTGTACCTAAATAAAATCTTACTGATGGCTAATAGTGATACTATTGTATCAATTATTTAAAATACAGCTCCCGTCGACTTATAATTTCTTTTTCGACAACTATTGTTCGGTCAGAGGTTCTTCATTGAAAGGAATTCGAACATGCTTTTAATGACTTTCTACAGGTAAATGGAGCATGAATTATATGAATATAGATAACGTGTACTCATTGCACTTATCAGCGAATTGAAGAAAATCGCAATGAGAGTTGGAAGTATTTATATTTTATTTCGGAATCCACTTTTGGTGTTTAGAGACACTTAAAGTGCTAGACGCGTTGTGTTTATGTTGAAATAGTGTAGTTGGAAGTATCCCGGTTGTACGTCTATTCTTCGAGTTCCTTCAAATGGTGGTGATTAAACGTCCTTTCAATCATACATCTTCTGCAGGATTTTTATGTGATCCATTGATTAGAAGTTTATCAGATGGATAGGAGGAAAACTTATCCACTTCATTATTATGTAATTGTTAGGGATGCAGAGGAATATACCAATCATTATCATGTTAAGTCTAATGATTTCCTTGAACTTTAAATGGACATTCCCTATTGGCCATTATTTATTTCACTCGTTAAATATTGTACAGATGTTGTTTTCTATTTTTATGGTACGATGTGGTCTGTTTGGTTGGTATATAAACAGAGCATGTTTGAAATATAACGATTCATATATCCGAGGCTGAGACTTGTATTCTGGACTCAACTGGCTGGGTCAGACAGCGAAGCAGGGCCAATCGGAACTCTAGGTCGTCCGTACGTGTTTTACGTGTCACTGGATCGATCGATAAAACGCTGCTCCATTCATCCATAATCTGCAATCCACACGTTACAACAGTAATTCTAATGAGGTTTCTTTTATATCTCTTGAAAAATGAATATGAAATTTTAATTACTATTTGATATAAAATACGAAGATTGATTTGATATTACCTCATTGAAGATTCGACTGTCTTAATCATTACATTATCTATGTGAATAATAATACAGATACATTTTGTGAGCGAATATCTTAACGATAAAGTTCTTTGATCTTTTGTTCTTATGAAAATATTTTGTAATTGAAACGCTAAGCAGTAAATTTTTAAATATCGTTTGAAATTTATTATAATAAAAAAGAAAATGAAATAATTAATCTTAGTAGGAGATATATATCTTGATTGTTGAAAAGTTACGGGACTTTAGGATTCCAAATTAACACTTGTCTCGTAATGCAATTTGATGATTTCCGTAATGTATATCCTATCCATCTTCAGCATCTTCTCCTTTTCATATGAACGTTGATTCGTTCTCTTTCACGTTAGGTTGCTGCTGACAGTATCCGGCCAACGGACATTCAGCATCTTATGTACACAATTGTTTATAAGTACTTGTACCATTTTGATAATGGCTGTGTTAGTTCTACAATTTTTAGTAAAACTGTTTTGGCGTTCGTATTAAAGATTCTGAGTTTGATGTTGACTGACAGTTGTCTTAACTTCCATATGTTCTTCAACTCGAGGAATGCTGTTATTGCTTTACCAATCCTCACCTTTACGTCTGCATTAAAGCCTCCTTGTTCATCGATGATGTTACCAGGTACGTGAAGGATTCCACATCTTCCATAGCCTCTCTATCAAGTGTGATTGGGTTGATGTTCTCCGTGTTGTATTTGAGGATCTAGCTTTCTTCATTTTGTATGTTGAGGCCTACTGATGAAGAGGCTGCTGCTATACTAGTTGTCTTTATCTGCAATTGTTGCTGTGTATGGATTAAGAGGGCTAGGTCATCTGCGAAATCTGTTCATTGAATTCCTCAGTCAATTAGAGCACAAAATAATTTGTTGTTGCCAGTAAATGTAGTCTCTGACTTAAAAATTACTTCGATAATTTCGTCATCTACGGAATCCTCGACCATATTACTATTTATCATTTTTTGTCACTGGTTGAAATATTGGTCACGTTTCAAAA